CGTCATCAGGTATGCGGCCGCCGCCATTGCTGACGTCATCAGGTGTGCGGCCGCCGCCATTACTGACGTCATCGCGCGCGCCGATGCGTATATTTATATACCTGGCATTACGGACACCGGCGAGAGTCGGTTACCTGCGGTGTAGCGGCAGGCAGAGGCGAGGCGATAACAGCTAGGTGATGATGAATAACTATAGGTAGGCGGGGGAGAGGACGCGATGCAAACTCCCCGACAGATGGCGCTCTCGCTCATGTACAATGGGTTCAATCTACCACTGCCACAAGTAGATGGTCCGTTACAATTTGTAACGCTGTTTTACCACAAGTTTTACAGCGGCCAGGTTACTCGTATTCTATGTAATAAGATTTGTACTAATAAAAGTTGCAAAGATATTAAAAATCCGATTATTTTATGAAAAATTTAATAAAAAAGTGCTACGAAATAGTGCGCGTATTGTGCGCCCATTTACTACTTTCAAATCATTACGCTGTTTACTAAACTGCGTTCACGTGTTATCATGAATTTTTCGGATGCTTGCCAATATACCTAATTTTCGAACATTGTATTTGATACATTTTTGCGTATTCAGCTTAAAACATCTAAATTTGTCCTTCAACAAACATACAAATCATAGAAATTTCTAATGTTTTGTTCGGCGGCGACTTCGCGGCCGTTGAATCGCCATTTGCTGGATTTCCCCGGAGCTCCACCCACTTGAAAAATAGTACCAGCCTTGTGGCAGTGGTATCCTGAGTTGTACGAATGGGCGCTGCATGCAGTTTGGGCGCGATGTTATGATAGAAGGCGATGAGTCGCCGTGTCGAGTTACGCATCGCTAATGCGCGCGAAATCACCCCGTCGGCGGCCGCGCGCGTGGCAAGGCGACCAGGCGCTAGCCCGTGCATCTCCCTGTAACACCCCCCTCCCAGGCAAACGACGGCACGGGGTGGGGGGCGGGTGGGAAGCCATCTTCATTAATGGCGGATGGGAATCCACGTGGCGGGCAGATGGGGCACCTGACGATTTCCCCCAGCTCTCCGTTTTCACGCGCTGTTCGTTGCTCGGGGAGGTCAACGGAACGAGCGGGCGCGCGCACCCGCGAGTGTGCGTGCGCGTGGATGGCCAGATACGTACGTGTGCATGTAGGGGAAGAAAGGAAGGAAGCGCGTTCTCTCCTCACCGACACCTCGCTGATGTCGAACCTTGCGCCTAATTGGCGTGGCGGAAGTACAGCTCGTCTATGGCTGTGTTCTCCGCTGTGCAGAGACTTCCCCTGCTGCTACACGCATTCTGTTGACCGCATAATATACGTACAGAGCGGTTATTAACTCAAGAAGCCCGTTTCCTTTAATAGCATTCTCCCCCTTCACGTGCCTGCCCCCTCGTACGGCAGCCCCGCCGCCACTCACGCCAACCGCTGCTGCATCTACCGCGGTGCGATGAACTGACAGTCTTGTTTGTGTAGATTAGAACGGTTCAAGTTTACGGAGCAAGGTCGCCTCCTGTTCGCCACACTAAAATATTGTCCATAAAACCTTCACTCGTCATGGGGCGTACTTGCGTCTCATTCTTGTATTCCGCATATATATCAAGAGTCCATAACAGAAAGGTTTTCTATTATTGACTCTTGATATTGTTTTTAATAGTCATGTTTATATTATACGAGTTGATTATTAATAAATGGATTTCATTATCGGATTTCAATTTTTGTGGATACGCATGCATGTATGGAGGGTCGCAATCTCTATATATTTGTTGCCACTAACAAGTTTCAAACGGCGCAATCATAAAGATGAACTATTTAGGTTAGTTGATGGCTTTTGTTCTTTTGCAGAAAAAGAATCGATGCTTGCATGCGAGTGGCTAAGGATGGCCGGCTTTCCTCAGTATGCGCAGATGTACACAGGTAATTCCGGTCATAGGTAATAGAGAGAGAGAGAGAGAGAGAGAGAGTGGGATCTACGAGATAAACAGATGGGGAAGAGAAAGAGAGAAAGAGAAAGAGCGAAAGAGAGAGCGAGAGAGAGAGCGAGAGAGAGAGAGAGAGAGAGAGAGCGAGAGAGAGAGCGAGAGAGAGAGAGAGAGAGAGAGAGAGAGAGTAGATAGAGTATATAATAGTAGGCATGCGGCTTCCGCGTCTTTTCATGCGTACGTCTTAAGAGAGAGCAGCTTTTAACATTTTTTATTTTTCAGACAAACAATTTCCGATCGATGTTGTTACAGTGGAGGTCGACCATGGGAACCTCGGTAAAGAAATGCTGCGACCGCTCTATAGGTATACTAGTTATATTAGTCAGTCAACGCGCTTCTATATTTATAATATGCGCGACTGCCTGTCGATCTTCATGTATGTATTCAAGAAGGAACGCGAGTAAAACGCTTTCAGACAGATATCTTGAGATTTCGTCCATCTCTCTAGTGTTGGCGAAGCGTTGCCGTCTGGTTAGCATTCTGTATAGATTGCATAGATGCTGCACGCTGACGCTATACACCGAGCACTTGCGAGTGCACTCGGCATAAATATGCGGGGAGTGAAGGTAGTGACGTATGTGGGTGGTGGGGGGTTCGTTTATTATTGCAGGCGGCTTAACACGCTGAACCTGTGTGCAAAGATGAAGCTCGATACTAGCGCCGCCGCTCTGGTAAGCAAGTTGTGTGCTGCGTTCATAGAAACAATATAGATAACTATAGTCTGTTTACATTATATCTATGGCTGCGTCTCACGCGACACGCCCATAAAGCTGGATTTACACTACCGACCTTGTGTTGGCGAATTGGCGAGTTGGACCAATTTCGCAATTCGGCAATTCCGAGTTGGCGAAAATAGAACATGTTCTAATCTCGCAACTAGTTGCTATCGATCGGTTGGTCGCTCAACTTTTGCGTTTACACTGCCGACTGTCGGTTGTATAGTGGGGAAGTTGGTCCAATTCGCCAATTCGCCAACACAGTAGGCACAAGCACTGTAAACTCGCTATAACTATAAGGTGGTTTGGGCCTGCCATACCGCTATAACCTAGATATAACAGCGCCCGCTATTTCTAGGTAATGGTGCGAGCCGCGAAAGATGTTTGGTACTCAATCCCCCTTCAGCTGCCTGCCTTGTACTTTTAGCAGTAATGTGAGAACTTTCTATTTTATATTAACGAACGTATAACAAAAAGATGCTTTATCGTCTGACTTCCACTAGTTTCCTGTGGCATTTGCGAGTGTTTGTGAAACTAGGTCTCCGGGACAACAGACTTCCCAACTCACTGCAGTTTTTGCCCGCCCACCATTGCAAACCCCGTCTGTCTGCTCATGCCTGCAGCGCTTATTTCTCTTGTTTCTTTCTACGTTAATCGATTTCTCATTTAGATTAAGATGTTAATCGATATCATCTTCTGATTATCTTGGTTAATCGATATCGTGCTCTGATCACCTTGGTTAATCGATATTGCACTGTGGCAGCAATTGATTTTGTATCATGACCACTTTTGTTCATTTACATCGAACTCTGATCATCACCGCTGTCAATCAACGTAATAGTCCGATCATGACGTTATATTAATCTGCTTATAATTTCTGCTTATAATTTCTGCTCCTCCTTCTCCCTCCCCTCCCCCTCCCCCGCAGAAGTCGGATGCTCAGGACGAGGAGAATCTCTTCGCCTTTAGTGAGAACTGGAACTACCAGCCGTCGCTGCAGCACTGGCTTCACATCACCGAGCCGACGGAGCCGCCGCGCCACCCGCCGCGCTCGCCGCCCGCCAGCCCGCACTTTACGCTCGGTTCTTCCGACGAGCCGAACGAGCCGACGACCTTCTCCGAGGGATGGCGCCACCAGCGCCGCCCGACGCCGCGTTCGTCGCCGGCGCTCTCCGGCTGGAGCTCGTGCGAGTTCGGCGGCAGCTCGGGTCACTCGGCCGCCAACGACAGCGGCAACGATTGGAGCGCCGCCGCCGCGCCTGGCGCCGGGGCGCAGACGAAGCGAGCGACGCGAGCGGGCGTGGCGTACCGCCGCCGCGGCGGCAGCGACTCCAACCTGCTGCAGCTTGACCGCCCGGCGACGCCGAACCGCGAGCGACCAGCCGACGCGTTTAGGGACCGCGCGAGGGCGCTGCTGAGCCAGCTAGGCGGCGGACTGAAGCGACGCAGCGTCAGCGACCTCGTCGGCCTGTGCAAGTCGCCGTCGTTCGACGCGCCCCCTAGCGCCGAGCGTAAGTCGTGGCAACTGAGCTGTGTCGACCTGCCCGCCGGCGACAGGGACCTAGAGGGCGCTCGCGGCAGCGGAGGTGGGGGTGGGGGCGCCGCGGCGGAGATGCCGGCGTACAGTCCCGGTCACCCGGTGACTAAGAGCGAACAGCACAAGCCGCGCGGCAAGTCGAAGTACCGTAAGAAGGCGTACGGAGGCAAGGGCCGCAGCACGAGCGATACGCTCTTCCTCGGCTACGGGCGGGAGTCCGTGACCCCTGGTGACCCCCGTGACTCGCCGAGGCAGCAGACGCCCGCCGTGCCGCTGCTCCGCACGCAGTCGAGGCCGCTGCTGGTGGCGCCCCCTAGCCCGCCGACGAGAGCCGATCTTCTCAATCAGTCCTACTCGCTAGCGCAGAGAAGGTCGGGGAGGAGAGAGGAGAGGAGAGGGGATAAACGGGAGGAGACGAAACAAGAATGGGACGTCGCCGATCCACAGCCGTCATACGGCAAGAAAGGTTAGTATCCGCGCTGACGCTTGCGCATGCGCACAAGCCGCTCGTCGCATTTCTGTCTCACTCGCAACATTGCCTCCTTCCACGCAGGCAACGCCGCGTCTAGTTTGCTCGTGTCTCTCGAAATTGCTGCATCCAACAATGGAGCGACAGAGCGACAAAACGGCGCAATGACAGAGTGACAGAGCGACGGAATGACAGAGTAACAGAGCGATTGGTCGACAGAATGACAGAGCGACGGAGCGACGGGTTGACAGAGTGACAGAGCGACGGGTTGACAGAGCAACAATGTGACGTAGTGACAAAGCGGAAGCCCGATGGAATGACAGAGCGACGGGCGATGGAATGATAGAGCGACGGGCGATGGAATGACAGAGCGACGGGCGATGGAATGACAGAGCGACGGGCGATGGAATGATAGAGCGGAAGACCGATGCATATTAATAATTTACCGACATAATTATTGCAAGCTCCGTGTCTACGCGCGCAAACTCGTCCCGCCTGAGTTCCATTTTCGGAAAAGCGCATTATAGACCCGTTAACGCTTTTAGCATGCAGTTTTAATTCGGCATTAGTTACGACAAACGATTGTCTGCTAATGGATTCGTCACTAGCTAATGGATATAGGCTTGATGTGTTTGTCTATAATGTTGACCATTAAGCGTAGATCGGCCCCTAAATAATTTAGCGGCTGCCACGCGCGGAAGATGACGTCACAGATATGTGTGCACGTCTCGTTCACGGCCGACTCAAGTGTGTGCATAGCAGTGTATGAGCTCGGCTTTCTGGTGGTAGCAAACACTAGACCTTTACTCGCTCCCTCTATTAGTGACTATTATTGACTATTACTCATTGAATAGATATATATCGTTGCGCTGCACCCGAAATGTAAAGCTATGCTTTGAAACCTGATTGATGTTAGATGGCAGATGGTCAGCTAGGCCTGTAATTAGCGACGTTTCATGAATCGAATTGTTATCTTCCTGTGAACACGTACGTCTTCTATGTGTAATGGATATCATCAAACCAGTTTCTCCGTTGAGTTGTCCTTCTGTTCCGTCCTTAATTGGAATAAACCCCGCGATGAGCGACGTAACAGGATTTGAAGACCGATGACGTCACGCGGAACGCAGCTCTGTTTTTATTGCTTTATAGCGTCTGGAGTAGAGGACGCCACCGACGCGCCGTGGCGCTGCAGCGTCTATGACAACGTGTCGCTGCCGGTCAGCGTCACCTACAATCCAGCGTACGAGGGCCGCCAGCTGCAGCCCTCCAAGGACGACGACCTCATGAGAAGCATCAACGAACTCAACTCTGTCGGTAAGAGCCGTCGTCGGTGCGCGTCGGCGCGAATCGGGTCGCCATGGCAACCACGTCAGCTGCGAACCGCTATGCTGTTTGACGTCACCTTGATTGTTCGCACGTTCGTGTATAGTAGTCACTGAGCTGTATATGATAACATTCTTATATAACGTCTTATCAGAGGTGAATAATAATAGATTCTATTATAGATTATATTATATATATTATTATTCACTCCTGATGTTATTATCTACAGCTCGAAGATGATAGTAGGACGAGCTGTCCCTTTCTTTTGCAATGACATCATCGCTTTCGCTATCGTTCGACTGCGTAGGCGATTTTCACTTAGCGAGCGCTAGAAACAGGGGATAGACGTATCTCGTTAATGTGGGGAGTCTCTTAAGTTCGCTCTATATAGAAACCCATTGGGAACATTCGACCTAATTCGACCTAGGTCAATCAGCAGCTTGAAAGTTTCGTCTATGAGCTAAACACCCGGTTCTAGCAGAGCCGGTTGTTAGATTTGCTGGGCTGTGTAACCTCTAGCGGACGAATCATATCATACATTTTATACATCGACTGTTACCACTTTGCAATCTCTCTCGTAGAGGAGAGCATAGCGTCGCTGTGCAAAGACCTGGAAAACCTACAGGAAGCCATGTTGAACAAACCGGAGAAGGAGCGCAGGGATTCGGGGATAGGCGCGTCATTGACATTACCAAGGTAACCGTAATCGTCGTCGTCATCGCCGCCGCCGGCGTCACTTCGCGCTTACGGCTCACTGCTTTCACACACCAAGGTGCTCCTCAATCACCGATATTTATCGCCGTTTGAGAGTTCATCTTCGACATCCAACGCGACCTTAAAATAGTCCGAAACAATAATTGCATAAATGATATTGCATGAATAAACTGCTGGTCGCATAATTTTACGTGGGAGTTTGAATTCTTGTAAACTGCATGTTTACAATAAGTCCCGAAGAGGACAGCGCGAGAAGTAGAAGGAAGTTTTGAGTTTGAAGGGGAGAATTAGAGAAGCTTGTGAAAGATTTCAAAGCTTACGATTCTCGTCGCGTTTCGCAGTGACCTGAAGGGGAGGGTTCGATGGCACAACTTCACCAAGTTCCCAACCGTACTGTCGAGCCTCGACGACGTGGCCATCGAAAGTCTGACCGTCGGCCAGGTGATGGTGCTACAGAAGCTATCCCTGCTGCGACTGACCACGCTTCTGGAGAGTTACTCACAGGAGTTCAGCAGACTGGGCTGGAACTGGTGGGTTTTTGGTGTTGTGTTGAGTCTGTGGTGGTAGTAGTGGGTGTGGATGGTGATGGGTGTGGGGTGGTAGTTGGTATGTGTTAGTGGTATGTGTGGGGTGATGGCGGATGTGGGGTGGTGGTGAGTGTGGAGTGGTGGTGAGTGTGGGTAGGGGGTTTTAGTGTGTGTGTGTGTGTGTGTGTGTGTGTGTGTGTGTGTGTGTGTGTGTGTGTGTGTGTGTGTGTGTGTGTGTGTGTG